TTGCACATGGATTTATTTGGTCATGTCAACGTGCAATCAGTAACTGGAAAGAAATATATGCTCGTTATCATTGATGAGTTTTCCAGGTCTACTTGGGTTTTGTTTCGCAAATCCAAGAGTGATGCACTTGAAGAGATCATCTCGTTCGTCAAGCGTATAGAAGTACTGAATAACATTAGAGTACGATCTATCAGAAGTGATTATGGCACTGACTTAAAAGACAGTACCATTGATGACTTTCTTTTAATAAAGTGCAAAAATAGGTACTGCCAGACTACATACATCTTGTTCTTCTCAATCTTCGTTAGTGACTTGTTGAGGTCAGAGGTAGAGTCTTCCTTCAGAGGCCAGTTGTAGCCAATATCTTCTAGAATCTTGATGATATGCTCAGGGTTTGGGTCTGTGGCATAGGGAACAGACTTGGGAAGACGAATAGCAGTCCATACGATTGAGAAGCCAAAACTTACTTACAGCTGGTTGATCTCACAGACAATTTGGTCAATGGAGTTGCTATTCTTGTCTTGCACCATCTTAAAGATGCCAGGGAACCTATCCCTTAATCCATCAAGAATGATGATGCCATCAGTGATGATGATGCCATGGTTACTCCTATTGTTGTTATTGTTGCTGACCATGAAGACCTTCATCCTTCCATCTCTGCATTGCAAAATGCTGGTGATGAAGATGATGATGAAGGTGATGCTAATGATGAGAATTCTGAACATCATCTTCCAGATGCAGGCATTGATCTTGTTGGTGACGATGATGATGATTTATGCATCCAAGCCATCCCAAGACAACTAGCAAAAGGAATCTTTGTCCAAGAACCTACTTCCCAGGGGGAGATATCATCAGAGAACCAACACTGTACTAGAAAAGGCAAAGGAATGGTTGAAGACAACCTTTCCATAGTTCTACGGACAATCAGTCCATCTGAAGATGTATTCACCTCCAGGTTTCTACCTTCTTCTACAAAAACTGAAACTTCTAACCCTTTCTCTCAATGTCTCTCTGCAACAACAAACCCTATTGGTCTCTCAACCTATCTTCCATATTTTAAAACCATAGAGGACGATGAAGATGTCGATGAAGCCAACATTCTAATACCTAGGAAGTCATCTAGACAACTTGAGTATTCAGAAGTTGATGAAGACCAGAGGATGGCTCAGCTAGTAAGTCAGCTCGACCAAACCAGAGTAAAAATTCCTCTTCGTACCTTTGGTTGTGGTGAGTTTGATTTTCTTTGAGAAGCTGAATGTGAAAAATCCTTCTATGCTGAACAAGAGCTGAACAAACATCAGCAACAACTCGAAGACACCTTAGAGTTAGCCAAGGCTCTAGATGAACAGGCACTTGTAGAAGGGAAATTCAAGAGGAAAGATTTGCTCAGTGCTTAAGCCAAATTGTTAGTAGAGGCTGAATGTGAACGTCAACGAGTGCTGAAGCTCAAGGGAGGTGTAGAGAAAGGATCGGGACAAGGATGAGCCCACACAAAATCACAAACATCACTATCAAGGGTCGCGTGAAAGATGGTGCTCAGCTAGTCTTAATAGTCATATTCCGAGATGACAAACATGCTGTCACTGAGTATCCCTCCTTCCTTAGTTAGTATGGCTTCTACGAATGGCTCAAAATTCGACAGGCTATCCAAAAGTCCAAATCCATGCACAAGCCTTACATTGAAGAAATTCTAAATGAATTATTCAATAAGATGACGAAGATCATTCAGGTTCTTCCTCTGCCAAAGATGCCCTCTCGAAGAAAAATTATTTCTGAAACCTGAAGATGGATCATCCCACAAGAAAGAACACAAGATAAAATTCTTAGTGAATGAAGTCCTCAAGGATCAAAAGAAGTTAGATATCTCAATGCTGAACTTGTCACTGTCTAAGAAGGGTCCTTACATACCCAACACGGTGCGTGTGTGTTGATCCCGTTAGGGTCTAAAAGAGTTTTATATAAATTGTTGATCCCAGATCTCTCAATAACACTAATAATCTAGTTATGAATAACCAAATTTTAGTCATTTTATGAAGAAAGTTATGAAGACTCGAGAAGAAAAATAAGAATATTTATGAACAGTCTTGAGCTTCAAAGGCTTAACTTTATAAACTGAGAACCGTAAGAGTGATTCGTAAAGGCGACTCTTTTTACAATAGATCTAATCACCTATTTATACTAATCAGCTAATAAGAAGATAACTATATAATGCTATTTTCTAGTAAATCCTCTATTAACAGATAAGGTTTATCTTTTATATGGATAGGCGCTAATATAGAGATAAACTCGAATTCCAGCTGTTGACTTGTCATCTCCAGCTGTCATTCATGATATGATGATTTCATCATTATCTTCAAATCTTCATTGCATGCTTGGATGAAGTGCTCAAAAATCTTCTAAGTGCTGATGACTAGAGGATCGATGAGAATGCTCTTTCCATCGCATCCTTGAACTGTCCATGGGTCCTCTGGTTAAATTCCAGACTTAGTCGTTTCTGCCTTGATGTCTTCATTGGTCTTCTGGTTCTTCATCACTTATTGTTTTTCATTACTTTTTACATTACGAATTGTGGGGTTTAACAATCTCCCCCTAAGTAATGAAATAACATAGTCTAGTCTAGACACACTTGTGAAGAACATAAACTAATCTAGTAGAAAAACATCAAATTCCAAATTTTCATTGGATGATGAAATTTTTACAATACTTGAATTAAAATACATCAAGGCAAAACTAACAAAAACTTTTAACTCATCACGAGCTACCTGAGTATATTTCTCTGAAGCGCATGAGCAGTCTTCGATATGCGATAATTGTCGATATCTCGTGAATGAGCTAACTCCCTACTTCCCTCGGCACATGGTTTCTTCCCAGTCTTTAATACTTTTCTGAAACCATTCAAGTGTATCTGTTGAATACTTAAAGGCTTCAGTCAGTCTGAAGAATTTTTTAACCCCGAACTCATTCTTGTAAACAAGTCCAAGTTTGGGTTGAGTCAAAACTGAGGCAGATCGTTTCTCTTGCAGGCCCTGGAAGTCTTCGTTTGGAGGAGCGCAGGATAGTCTTTCAATGCCTAGCCTAAAAGCGATTTCAAAATCACTTTTGGCTCTATGTTTCACCAGAGATTCCATCGTCTTCACTATTGCTCGGTTTGCCATTCCAAATCTTATGCCGTGATCCTGCCTTTGAGCTGTGTAAGCATATAACTCAATCAAGTCGTACAGGTTGAGATTGATGAGGTCGTTTTCATTGAACACGCTAACTAGCCCATGTCCTCTCTCCACGGTGAACTCGATGTATCGGATAGCTCGGTTGGCAAATGTCTTTACTTTCAAGTCTATGACCCTCCTTATCCCATCATTCGAAAAGACAGCCTGGGGTGCTTGTGTGGTCTGTCTGATGAATCGATGGTGTAAGAGGTCCATAGACTCAGGCGATAAGACTAAAGGGTTTGTGGACAAACTCTCATCGCAGTCTTGGTACATATATTGATGGATGTTTTCCATCATGACTGGTTCCCTAGGCGGCAGTTGAGGACCTCTCCTCATCGACTCCATGCTTTGTATGATTTCATCTACCAGGCCCTTTGGAGGTTGCCTTTAAGAAGAGGGAGTATCTGCACACTGGTTGATGGGTTAAGGGTTGTGTATCGGTTGGGGGTTGTGTTTTGGTATGGGTTTGTATATGGGTAGTGGGTATGGTTTCATTGGTTGGCTCAGTTTGGGCTTGGGTGATTTCTGGTGCATGGGTTTCTGTTGGGGTTTGTGGTTGTTGGGGCGATGGTTGGTTTGTTATAGGTTCTGGTTGTGTGGAAAGGGTGAAGGATTGGGTTATGCGAGGTGTGGGTGAAGGGGTTAAAGGTAGGTTTGTTGTGGGTGAGGAAGTGAAAGTTTGGTTTGTTTCTGTTGGTGGTGTGGTTGGCTCTTCATCGGTTGATGAACTCAACACGATGGGTTTTTGGGGTTGTGGCTAAGGGAACATGTATATCTTGTTCATCATCAGAGGACAAAGCCTCTGGTTCCCTCGCTTGGGTTTGTTCGGTAGAGGGTGGTTGTTGTGATGGTGATGGTTGTTGTGGTGCAGCGAATTCGGTGTGATGTGTAGCCGCCACCTCTTTCTCCCCCTCATGAGGTCCAAGACCTTGATCATCAGGGTCTGGATCATCATGTCTTCGTAGTTTTAAGGGGCGGCTGGATGAGAAGGAGGCACTTGATCTGTTCTTCTTCTTCCACAATCGAATGTGGTCAGCGAGAGTACACACCCAATCCTTGTTGCGTCCTTGTTCCATGGTGCGAAGGAGAGTGTTTGTAGATGGTGGAGGTGGCACAGAGGGTGTAGCGGATGTTGGAGGATGGGGAAGGTTTTCAAGGAGAGTCCTCACCTCTGCAGTGAAGGATGAGAAGGTTGCATCAAAGAATGGGCCTGCAGAGGGAGGTAGGGGTTGACTTGGTTGTGGGATTTGGGCAAGTATGGTGGCGGGTAGTTGGGTGAGGGTGGTTTGTAAGGTGGCTATTTGGGTGGTGAGGGGTGTGAAAGTTTCATCGAGTGATGAAGTGGATGGTGGTTAAGGTTGAGGGATTTGGGAGATTATGGAGGTGGGTATTTGATTAAGGTGGCGAAGGATGATTTGTAGTTGGGTAATGATGTAGGTGAGGTTTTCATCAGCCTCAGTTGCCTGAGCCGTGAGGGTTACGATGGATTGGATAAGGACTTGGTTTCTTTGGGTGGCTAGGGAGGATGTGGTATTGTGGTGTTGGGTGATGGTTTGTTGGAGCATTTGTAGGTGGTTTGTGTTGGCTTGGGTTTGGGTTTCTATTTGGGTGAGATGGTGTTGGAGGATTGCAAGGGATGGGTGGAGGTCTGAGGTATCGGTTTAGGGTTGGTTGTCCACTTTCCCTTGTATGAGGAGTTTAAGGTCATCCAAGGACTGCGTCACTGTATCAACATAGGCTTGGAACTCTGCCTTTGTGACCAGATCGGCTTGTGGGGTAACCCCTGCAGCAATGGATGCTTCAGGTTGTGCCTCTGTTCCTGAGGCTCCTTCTTGGCCTTGTGTGAATGTGGGCCTCGAAGGACTTCCATCATGTCCTTGATAGCCCTCGAGAGAGGAGCTATCTCGTGATGTTGCTACATCAGCTTCCTCTTCCTCGGCTTCAGAGGCCGAGTAAGTGAAGCGAATGTGTGTCCCCTTCGATAGATCAAATATCGAAGGGAGAGGTGCATGAAGGGAAGATCGCTCTAAACGATCTATTGGTTCAACGTCAGAAGCAACACATGCTTCTGTGTGTGTGAAGGGATGTGGCGAGCCCTGAGGCGAAGGGGCTCTTATTTCTTCATCACCTCTCTGTTGAGAGAGGGGTGATGGTAAACGTGGTTCCTCGGCTTGTTCATCTCCAGAGGCCCGAAGAATGGCCTCTAGATGGCTGGCTGGGGTTGGAGTTGGACTGGGTCGTCCTGTTTCAATACCCCTTTGGCTTTGATCACCAGGGGTAGTGGATGTGGTTTCCCTTTAGGAAGTGGGTTGAGGAATTGTATGAGTAAGGCCGGGGGAAGCACGAGTAGCATCATCATCATCTTCATTATTCGATGAAGATGACGCTTGTGCTCCCTCGCTTGGAGGGGGGACGGCTCTAAATGCTACGGGGTAGCTGCCCTCGGTTCTTGGAACAGCATGGAGCGTTCATAGGTCTGGCGTATCTCATTTGTCGATGGTATGACAGTGAGCATAGCCCAGGACAGCAGTCGATTGATGTTGTATCCTTCCTTCGAGAGGGTTGGTCGGTGTCCTTGCATCTTGTAGACCGGGCTGTAAGGCTCCACAGCAGGTAGACCGTGCTTCCTCATCGTGTCCCCAATGAAGAGGGCGAGGAAGTGGGGAAAGAAAACTGTAGAGAGAGGCTTTCCAGCAGCTTGAAGTTTGCATTTTTTGATCACGACCGCATGAATCTCGTTGTAAATGTGGAAGGCGTAGTCGAGATTTAAATTGAAGAATAGCCCATACATGATCGTCATTATGTGGAGGTTCCCTTAGTCTAGGGAACCCAGCTTGCAAGTAAGGGATCGGTTTAGTATGGAGAAGAACAAATTCCATATTGGCGGGAGGAATTGTCTTTTGAAGTCCGAAACATTGCGTAGGTCACGGTTGTAACCTAGAATCTTTATGAACCGAAGGATGTCGTCGGAGGTTGGTGGTTCGTCGTATTGTTCAATCCCGAGTTCCCTTCTTGTTGGAATGCATAACACCCTAGAAACTTTAGCTTGCGATATCTTTAGCGAGCATATCGTGTCATTTGGGGCGTCCATATCCTCCATTATACCGTGACTGGCAGGATGAAATTCACAGGTTTGCCAGTATTGTTGTACGTACTTTAATGGTACGCCAGGGTCAACTAGAGTGAGAGCGGGGAGGAGGATGCAGTTCTTGAAGAACTCTATGATTATTTCAAAACGGTCGTTGAATAGGGTGTTGCGCAGTTCAATGGCGTGATTGTTTGGTTTCATGGGCAATAAGACATGTGCGTGGCTGTCAGCGCCTGTTGACTGTACTTGGCTATCGTTATTGTTGGATTCATGAGAAGAGGAGGAGGCCATTTTTGTGGAAGTTGCAGGTTTTGTGTTCGTCGGAGTCTTGTTGCAGGTTTTGAAAGCATAAAGAAAGGATGAATGTGGAAGAAGGTTATTTATAGGTGAGTTGAGGGTGGGGGAGGTGGGAAAGGAAACGTTTTCTTGATTATTAAAATATAATAATCCTGAAAAGTTTTGGCTGTTTAAGTTTTGGGTGATATGATTTGAAGAACGTGAGCCGTCGTGATAGTACGAGCCATTAATGGACTGGACACGTGTCAAGCTGGGGTTAGGGAAGATGAAAAATTGAAACGGCTCATGGGGGACAGCCTGTATGGTGTCAGGCGCATGGTAGGATGACGTCGTGCATTATTTGAAATAAGGATTTATTCCAAACAATATCTTGGAGAAGACGTTTCCTAAAAAAATATTTTGAATTTAAAATCTCATCTAATTGTAAGATTAATACTAATTACGAAGTTTTGGTCTTCTAAAACCCATGTTGTATAGTTTTTAGTCACAAAAGCTGCAATTCTGTATAATCTTGAAAATGGTTTTCAATTTAGATGAGTTTTGGGGTAAAATCTATTGTCATGGAACCAGAGGAGATCTGGTTAGGCATGACCTATTGGGTGRGGAGCCADAGGAGKTYTKGTTTRACATCAATGATGTTTGTATATGTATTATTGGATTTGCATGATTTATAAGCTTTGGTTGGCAAACCAGAGGCTCTTGTTAAGTTTGGCAATCCATTATGTAGAATTAGAGGAGTTCTGGTTAAGTACATATATATAGCATTTTAAGAGGCCATAGGCTCTGGATAGTAGAACCAGAGGCTCTGGATGGAAAATGCAAGTTCACAAAATGAAAAGGTGAAAAAGATTGCTCCCCCTCAAGTGATGCATGTGAATGGATGTTTCAAGTATCAAAAACTCCCCCTTAAAAAGATAAAACTTTAGAAAAATTGGGGACAGAGGCTCTGGTCTATACAACCAGACGCTCTGGTTTTGAAAGATGAGAAAAAAATGGAAGTTTAGAGAGGTATTTGAGACTAGAGGGGTGCTGGTGGCAAAGAAGACAAAGCCAGAGGCTTTGGTCTTTAGAACCAGAGGCTCTGGTTGTGAATGCAATAAATGTTATGGGAGGGTTAGAAAGATTGCGAGTCCAGAGGCTCTGGTCTTTAGAACTAGAGGCTCTGGTTGAGAAAGCAATGAGTGTGAATAAGGCAATGGTGAAGACCAAGTGGTGTGTGATAAGAGGAAACTCATTGAAACCAGAGTGGCACTGGTTGCAAGGAGTCTAAAGGCAGAGGCTCTGGTCTTTAGGACTAGAGGCTCTGGTTGGAAGAAAAGAGATTGTGTTGGAGACCAGAGGTTCTGGTCTTTGGAACCAGAGGCTTTGGTTTGAGAGTTATACGTAGTGATGAGAACTAGGTATAAGCTTTGTACCAGAGGAGCTCTGGTTCCAAAGGGTGGAAGAATGAATGAGAGTCCAAGGTTTCAGACAGTGACGTTTCAAATTTTTGGAAACCAGAGGCTCTGGTTTGAAGAAAAAGATTTGGTTAAAAAAAATACCAAGTGTTTGCTTTGGACCAGAGAGGCCCTGGTTCCAAAGACAATATTTGCCATATTTTAATCGAAGTTATTCTAAACAGCCAGAGGCGCTGGTCTTTATGACCAGAGGCTCTGGTTTAGGATACTTGGATTTTATGGCTAAGATGTTATATCACTTATAGGCATAACCATGATATATTGAAGATCGCTGGTTTAAAGATAAATATTGCCTCTAAGTGGTGAGATTCAGCATACCCATCTTGTTGACTAGGAATAAAAATCGTTTCTCATCGAGAGCTTTTGTAAAAATGTCAGCAAGTTGAATCTCAGTGGGAACAAAATACATTTCTATGTTACCTTTTTCAACATTATCTTTTAGAAAATGGTACCTTACATCGATATGCTTGGTCTTGGAATGTTGTACTGGGTTTGCAGAGATTGTTATTGCACTCTTGGAGTCATAGAGGATTGGGACTTTGTCATAATGGAAACCATAGTCCGTAAGCTGAGTCTTCATCCAGAGAACTTGTGAACAACAACTAGCAGCAGCAACATATTCTGCTTTTGCTGTAGATGTTGAGACACAATTTTGTTTTCTCGAGATCCAACTTACCAGCTTGTCCCCCAAGAGTTGACAGCTTCCAGACCTACTCTTTCTATCAAGTTTGCAACCTGTATGATCTACATCTTTTTTGAATCCATTGTCGATGAGGAAGGTAGATAGAGTTTCATACCAGGCTCTGGGTGCTTGCTTGAGTACATAAAGAGCTTTATCCAGAAAATATACATAGTATGGATGCTTTGGATCTTCGAACCCATGAGGTTGTTGCCCGTAGACTTCTTCTTGTAGTTTGCCATTGAGGAAGGCAGACTTAACATCCATTTGAAAGACTTTAAAACCTTTATGTGCTGCATAGGCTAGGAACATTCGGATGGCTTCAAGTATTGCGACGGGAGTGAATGTCTCATCGTAATCAATTCCTTCTTCCTGGCGATAGCCTTTTGCAACAAGCCTGGCTTTGTTCCTTATTATAATGCCATCTTCGTCCTTCTTGTTTTGAAAGACCCATTTGGTTCCTATGGCCGTCTTCCCTTTGGGTAGAGGCATAAGAGACCATACTTTGTTTCGTTCAAACTGGAGTAATTCTTCTTGCATTGCGTTTATCCAGTTTGGGTCTTGTAGAGCTTCAGAAATCTTCTTTGGTTCTATCATGCTCAGAAAGTTGGTGAAGAGGCATTCATTTGCAGTAGCAGATCTCGTCTTGACACCAGAGGTTGGATCACCAATGATTTGGTGATGTGGGTGATTTTTTGTCCATTTGGTGTTTGATTGAGGCTCTAAAGCAACAGGATGCAGTTCTTCATCGACTGATGGAACTGCTTGTTCCCCCTCAACGAGATCATCTCTAGAATTAGACTCTAGTTCTTGTGTATGATTTGAAGACATAGGAGAAGCAGATGATGTAGCATGAGCTTCTGTAAGAGATGTACCTACAGCATTGGAGTCTGCATGATCTTCGTCGCTTATGGATATAGATTTTGCATTAGATTCATGTCCAGAAACTACTTCTTCTTCGAAGATGTCTTCAAATAATTGAGCCAACTCTGATTCACTAGGTTTGCTAAGTGATGAATCAGATGCTCTTCGTTGAAGTCCGAGTTCTGAACTGTTGTGTCCAGAAGTCATTGGGGTAGAGTCATCGAAGGACACGTTGATGCTTTCAATAACAATTCTAGTCCTTTTGATGTAGACTCTGTAGGCTTTGGCGGTTTGAGAATATCCTAGAAAGACTCCCTCATCGGCTTTCTTATCAAACTTGCCAAGATATTCTCTATCGTTGAGTACAAAGCATTTGCACCCAAAGACGTGAAAATATTTGACGTTTGGTCTTCTTTGGTTGATGAGCTCATATGGGGTTTTCTGGTGTCTCTTGTTGATGATTGATCGATTATGGGTGAAGCATGTTGTGGAAATAGCTTCAGCCCAGAATATGATTGGTAACTCCGATGAAGCAAGCATGGTCCTTGCTGTTTCCACAAGGGTTCGATTTTGTCGTTCTACTACTCCATTTTGTTGCAGAGTTCTTGCTGATGAAAAGTTTTGAGTAATGCCTTCAACGAAGAGATAGTCATTGATTTTGGCATTTTTGAATTCAGTTCCATTATCGCTACGAACCTTTACTAACTTTTGCTGTAGTAGGACTTGTAGCCTTTTCATCACTCCAATGACTAGGTCTGGAACATCTGATTTCTTCTTTACGAATTCAACCCAAGTGTATCTGGAGTATTCATCGACCAATACCAGCATATACTTCTTTCCAGAGAGACTTTGGGTTGAAATTGGCCCACAGAGGTCTATGTGAAGCATATCCAAGGGCTTGGTGGAGGATGTTTCTGACTTAGTTTTATGTGAGGCCCTTTTTAGTTTACCTAACTCACATGCTGAGCAAAGATTATCTTTTTCGAATTTGAGAGAAGGAATTCCCTTGAACAAATTTTGTGTGGCTAGTTTTCTTAGTGCATCAAAGTTGAGGTGTGAGAATTTTTGATGCCATAGCCAATTTTCATCGCTCTTATGAGACACAAGACAGAGGGTGTCTTGTCCCATGGAGGAGTCAAAGTCTAGAAGATAGAGATTTCCTTCTATCTTTGCCTTGATGATTGTGTTACCGGGCTTTGTTTCTATGATGCAGAAACCTTTGCGAAATCTGACTTCAAGACCCTTGTCGCATAATTGACTTATGCTTAGTAGATTCTGCTTTAATCCTTCGACATAAGCCACTTTGCTAATGGAGATATTGCCTTTGATGAGAGTGCCATATCCCTTGATTATACCCTTGCAGTTGTCTCCAAAAGTCACCGAGCCTCCAAATTTTTCGATGAAGGATGTCAGCTGACTTTTATCACCAGTCATGTGCCTGGAGCAACCTGAGTCCATGTACCATGGTTGCACATGCTGGTCCAGCAAGACAAATTAAGGGGATTTAGGTACCCATTTCATAATAGGTCCTCGTTTGTTAGTAGGGGATGACGCACTCTTTTTGTCGCCCTTAGCCTTTGCAGGCTTATTTTGGTTAAGTTATAACACTAAGTAGAAGGTGTAAAGTTCACACTCATGTAAACTAATTAGAACTCGAGATTGTTGGATGATTTTGTATAGGGAGGGTTTAAGTGGCAGAGGGCAGTGCATAGGCCGTGTGTTCTTTTGTCATCAAAAGAGCATGAAAACCGTTCTTGGAAACAGAAGGTTGTGCATGTGACATGTGTTTTTTCACATGTCATTTTTTTCACATGGAAAATGACAGGCTGTGCATTTTTTATCAGAAGATTATCATCTGTTATGTTCAGCTATATATAAATGATGGTACACTAACTAATGGTACACTAGCTAGGTGATGGTTCTGTTATATTCATCTATGTGATGGGTCTATTAGTTGAAGGTTCAGCTAGATGATGGAATTATGTTCAGCTCGTTGAAGGTTCAACTAATAGATAGTTCATAGGTGGTCGACTTTGCTGATGGTTCACTGGTGTTTAGCTGGCTGATGGTTTACTAGCTGGTGTATAACACGCTAGAGGATTGCCATCCCTATTCAAATCTATCCAGTTGATGATTGACCACTAACTTGTACTTGTCTTATCTATAACCATCCACTCCTTATTTCCTGCACTCATTTCCATTTAATGGAGTGTTGTTCTCGGCATTAATTTAGGAGCGGTTACGATTCTGTAAGTTTAAAAAGGAAAGATTTATGCCAAAATTGTTACTGGAAATTTGAGATTATCCTCGTGTGAATTTCGTGATATCCAGACATTTTAAGGTCGAAATATCTCTTTAGAAAAACAGACTCTCGCACAATCTCAAGTTTTTATCCATGTTCTTTTATTCATTCATTGTTTTCTTCAAGAATTTCTTGAATTCCCCAACAATCTTGAGTGAAAGTTTGTTCTTTGCGAGAAATATGGCGAGTGAACAATATGTTATAGATATAACGTCTAAGTTTACCAAACTAGAGAAGTTTGAGGGCGTGGATTTTTTGACAATGGCAGAAGAAGATGCACTTTTTGTTGACCACTCTAAAAGTGGTGTACGTGCTGAGTACTCTGATGTCGGTGGTGATGGAAGACTGGATGCTAGAGATGACTCGACATCGAGACAAATAAAAGAACGATGAGTACATCTATTGTGGCCATATCTTAAACGGTATGTGCGACTCCCTCTTTGTCATTTATCAAAATGTTGAGTATGCCAAAGAGCTATGAGACTCTCTTCAGTCCAAGTATATAGTCGATAATGCTTCTAGTAAAAAGTTCCTCGTAATTAATTTTAATAATTATAAAATGGTGGACTCAAGGTCTATGATGCAACGATACAATGAGCTCTTGTGTATTCTAGGGAAATATGCTCAACATAATTTGGTAGTTTTGTAATTTTAATAATTTTTAATAGGTTTTAATTTCTTTCATTTCCTTCTCTTTTCTCCCATATTTGGCACAAAGTTTTGGGGGATATCTTATCACTATTTTCATTCTCTTTCCTTTCTTTTCTCTTCTAAAAGAGTTTCAAAAACTTGAGTTTTTTAACTTTCCTCCCCTTTCTTTCTCTTTCCTTTCCTTCGTCAAAAAAAGAAAGTTTCTAGAACACAGCGTGAAAGAGGAGGTTTCCACTTTTATTCTCTTAAAGAGTAAAAAGTTTATTTCTATCATTCATATATTTGATTCAGGAAAAAAAAAGTAACAACAAATTTTTTATCGAAGCAAACAACTTATAACCCATATACGACTTAATAACAAAAAGTAAACATCCCTTTATATGTCTCGATTAATTCTATAAGGCTCTCAAATTAACAGTCGGAAAAACCTATACCGACTTATGGAACAATTTTCAATCTTGATTTAATAATAAAAATGATGAGTGGTTCATGTTTGAACCTTATTAGTTACCTCAAGATATAACATTAAAATAAAAAATAATTAGATCATCCTTGCATGGGATTGTTTTGTCATTTTCTAGTATTGTTCATATAACATTGCTTTTTTAAATGCCTATATATACACCTTTTCAAGCAATCATCATTCACTAAACACATAGAAACTTGATTTCATCAAATTGATCATTCAAGAAATGGAAGCGAACACCAAAACCTCCATGGAACCATTTCGTCCTTTGGCCAACTTCCCTCCTTCTATATGGGGTGATCGCTTTCTATATTTCTCGGTGGATAATTCGGTATGAGTTCTTATTGCTCTCCAGCTTAAAACATGCAAAAACGCTTGCACAGAGAAGTTCAATACAAAAAGAAATAAGATTTATAAGATGTTAAAAATATTTTAATAAATTGTTTTATACTACTTATATTTATAAGATTAAACAATCATATGTCCTGCTCAAAATAATTGAGGTTGTTTTGACATGTTTTTTTTATAAACAATTCATAATTTCCTTAATTTTCCAAGGAATTGGAAGCATATGCCCAAGCCATGGAGGAGCCAAAAGAAGAAGTGAGAAGACTGATAATCAACCCAACAATGGATCCAAATGCAACACTAAGTTTGATTTATTCTGTGTACCGTCTTGGTTTGACATATCTTTTCTCAGAAGAGATTGATGGTCAACTTGTAAGGAATCAATTTTCCTTTCTTTATTTTTATTGAGAGATATATCAAATATATATACAAGCATAAGCATCAATTACGCCTAAACATAAGCCTACACTTATTGACTTACTATAATACAAATTATACACAAAATACATCCTAAAAATAGGCTTAATACCCCCCCTCAAGTTGGTGCATGCGGATCACAAGTGCCCAACTTGCTTAATAAGTAAAGAAATTGACTTTTTCCTAACGCTTTAGTAAAGAGATCAGCTATTTG